TCCCATCTGCCAATAGGCATGAAAGGCTCAGAAACGAGCCTGGGATAGCTTTTGCAGGTATCCCACTTTTCCAACCACATTGCATTCCAACGAGCCCGTGCCCATGCTCGGCAGGTCCAACGTTAAATCCATCTTAATCTTGGATTAAGCTCACCATCAGCATATCTTCTAACAACAGTTCCAAAGTCGTCTGGGACAAGATTCTGAAGGTCAATGGGAAGTATGCTTCCCATCCCATTTCCATCTTGCTCTCCAATGGCCAGGAAGATGCTGATACTCTCAGAGAGTGCTTTTTTATCTCTCCAGCACTTCTGTTTCTTCTTTTTCTGCCTTCTTGGTCATCAAGTCTCAGGTAGTGCAATCGCCTATTTCCTTTTCGGCTGATCATCTCTATGACTATTATCGTCCTTTTACACTAGTGAACTTAAGCTTACTCTTCATTGGTCTGACAGAACATTAGTCAGGCCTGATTAAATTCACTATGAGATGCTGCATCATCTCTCTCCTGCCTCTCTTGCCCTTCTTTTGGTTGTTTTTAACAGGATCTGGCAGGAGAACATTGTTCCTGATGCTTGGTGCAATGCTACTGTTCTACCTTTTTCTAAGTCTGGGAAAGATCTCAAAATTTCTTCTAATTATTTTCCTATTACTTTCACTAACTGTCTCTGTAAGGTTTTGGAGAGGATGGTTAATGTTCGTCTTCTTTGGTTCCTTGAATCAAACAACCTCATCTTGCCCAGGGAAGCCTTCCCCAATAAAGAACATCTTTTCTCTGACCTTGAGAAGGCTTACAATATTATGTGGAAATACGGCATACGACTTCTATATTTCTTATCGGTCATTGATCATGAGGTTTATTGAGTGGTAGCTTCAGACTGCTCTCAATTGTCTTTTATGTTGGACAATAGCAAACGGTTTCACCATCTCCTCATTGTAAACCATGGCACCAATGGGAGTTTCACTCCGATCCCAAGCTCTGTCGCGGTAGTGTTGTTCTTCCTGTGGTTCCTGAGGCAATGTTCTTAGGGCTTATCTTTGATCGTAAGTTTACTTTCATTTATCACGTCAAGCAGCTTTGTGTCAAGTGTATAAAGGCACTGAACATCACCCATGCCCTCTCTTCCACCTCTTGGAGAGTGGATCAGTATTCTATGTTGAAGATCTATTGAGCCCTAATATGTTCTAATGTGGACTATGGGTCCCTGATTTATGATTCTGCCAGTCCCTCTGCCTTGAAGATGCTGGACCCTTGTCCACAATCTGGGGCTTCAGCTCTGCATGGGGGCTTTCTTCACTTTACCAGTTCAGAGTCTGTACACTGAGTCTTACAAATAATGGCTGGAGACGGCTTGAATGGGTAATGAAGAAAAACTTTAATGTAAGTTTAACATAACAGCAAATGTACAACGTTTCAACAAGGTTTTTTCATCTTCAGGTACGACAAAACCTTGTCGAAACGTTGTACGTTTGCTGTTATGTTAAACTTATATTAAAGTTTTTCTTCATTACCCATTCAAGCCGTCTCCAGCCATTATTAGTCTCATAGTGGGTTCCTCGTCATCGAATTTGAGTCCCACAAACTTCGTCTTCACTTCCGCCATTTGCAACTTTCCTTACAATATGCTACCAAGCTTCAATTCTTACCACAGCATCCCACCTGGGTCGTATCTTCCTTCCTTTGTGGGCCATGCTCTTTCAGAATAGACAGTCTGCCATTCCACCTTTTGGCCTTCGTATCCACGCACAGATGGATGAATTGTGTGTGTCCTTGGATGACCAACCCATCCTGCCATGGCTCATTACCATCCCCACCTGTGACCTTTCTTTAAGCCATCTAGGGAAGGCAGATACTCTCAATTGGAAGTACCATCTTCTCTTTGCCGATCTTCTTTTGAACCATTCTTTTGTTCCAGTTTTTAGTGATGGTTCGAAATCAGGTGAGTCTGTGGGCTCTGCCATGGCTTGTTTTAACTCAGTGGATGATCACAGGATTCCCTCTGCAGTTTCTGTGTTCACTGCCAAGTTGTATGCCATTTTTCTCGTCTTGGATCACGTAAAAGCTAAACAGTACAGTAATTGTACTATTTACACTGACTCTCTTAGCTCTATACTGGATCTGGAATTGTTTAACGTTAGTTCTCACCCTGTTCTTGTCGATATTCAAAAACGACTGGCCCATTTTTTTCTATTTTTCCATTTCTGTCCAGTTTTCTGGATACCTGGCCATGTCAGTATTTACTGGAACGAGCTTGCTGACACCGCAGCTAATTCCGTCTGCTCTGGTGCCGTCACGGCCGTGCCTGTCCCACATACGGACTACGGTCTTGTGTTCAAGTCTCGGTCTCGCACCAATTGGCAGTTGACTTAGGGTGAGCAACGTTATAACAAGCTTTTCCAGATCAAACCTTCTGTTGCTCTTTGGCCGTTGTTTCCTTAAGTATCGGAAGGAGGAAGTTGTCTTGGCTAAGCTACGCATTGCTCACAGTTTTTTAACTTATTGTCTTATTTTATCTGGGACTGATCCACCAATGTGTGACCTTTGTGTAACTCAAGTCACAATAGCCCACATTTTACCCTCGTGCAGTCGTTACGACTGTGAGGGGCGGCACTTTTTTAGACATATACTTTCTACGGGTTTACGGTGTCCTTGGCGATGGTGACACTGTCCGGCTTGAATGTATTTTTAACTTTTTACAGGCCATTGACATTTTTTATTCTATCTAGTTAACCTTTTCGGGGTTTTGTATATCTTGTAACTGGACTTCTTTTTACAATTTACAGTATTTTAGTTTCTATTTTTATAGTGGTTGTTTGGCGCAGATAGCCCTGTTGCTTTGCGTCAAAAAACTCCAACCAACTAAACAATTAACATGTCTATTTTTTAAATTTTGTAGTTCTTCTGTATTTAGAACCTTTTTCCATGATATTCCATAAAAACTGTCTTCTATTATTTCCAGTAATAATATGTTTATGTAAATAATTTGCCAAAGAGTTTGAATAACAATCACATGATAAATTAGGTACATTATTTAGATCTAACTTATTTAAAACATATTTGTAATTACATATAACTGGTCCTATTGGAATTTCATATTTAAAACTAATAATTTGTTTGTAATTAAGCACAAAGCTACACAAGGGGCTATCTGTGCTCTGCCCACCACGGGTATCGAAACCCGGATTCTAAAACTAATAATAAATTTTAAATATTTTAAAGAAAAATATTTTATATAACATAATCATGCGAAATTTTAGAAATTTTCAAATCATTAAAACTTTTATGTTTAAAATTAATTGCTATGTATGGTGATTTTCTTATTAGTAATTCTTCACTTGTATCATTCAAATCATTTACTTTAAGCCTAAATTTTATAATATCGTAAATTAAATATTTAGCATGGTTATTTTGAATATTAAATGTAAATACGGATTTTGTTAACACTTTTAACTTTGAATTATTTAGTTTATATATATTTTTGTAAATATAACTACGAATGTTAGTAAGTATATAAAACTTATTTTCTGAGTCGTACAAAAACAAAAATTGACCCATTTTATTCTATTTCTTCCTTTTCATCCATTTGTCTTTTTGTGCACATTTTGTTAATACACAAAATTAAATCTAACTATATTGTATTTAAGGTTTGGATATATTGTGTATAAATTACGCCATTCTTACTTTTCATGTAATTTGTTGCGAAGATTTTGTAGCTTATTTAAATTATATACTCATATTTATTACTAGCTGACGTACATATTCAACACACGGAGAAGATATAGGGACTCCCAGGGGGTGATATAGCGGTATAAACTCCTAATGCATTGTGTCGTTACAATCAGTCTATTTATAAGCAGATACAAACACAAACTTGTCAAATATGGGTTTAAATTAGGACAATAATAAATAATAACACAAAACCTCTTATTAAGAATTTATATATCATAATAACAAATTACATAACGAAACGTTGTTCATTCTTCATATGTTCTAAGCTATTACTACAAAACTGATAACATTCCAACTCGTTCTTTATGTAATTGTGTGATTTTCTTTTTCTTACATTACATACTGGTATCTTTATCTGTAGGTTTACTGTCTCTACGAGGTTTTACAAATGTGTTGTTAGTTTCGCAACTTAAAAATATGGGTATTTAATTTTTAAATTAGTAGAATAAAAATAATTTGTGTTATAAGATTATTTTATAGTTATTTATAAAAAAAAGGTTTTCTTCGATATGAATATGATCAAAGTAGTACAGTTCTATGCCGCTAAACTATAGATCTATAGATGCTCTGTTGTTGATTCAAAAAAACTTTCATCTCAGAAAACATGGTTTCACACCAGATTTGTAGATACTATATTGTAGGTTCAAAGAACTGTCACTTCAGAAAATGTTGACTGACACCAGATTTGTAGATACTATATTGTAGGTTCATAGAACTGTCACCTGACAAAAAGTAGATTGAAACCAGATTTGTAGATACTATATTGTAGGTTCATAGAACTGTCACCTGAGAAAAAGTTGATTGAAACCAGATTTGTAGATACTATATTGTAGGTTCATAGAACTGTCACCTGAGAAAAAGTTGATTGACACCAGATTTGTAGATACTATATTGTAGGTTCATAGAACTGTCACCTGAGAAAAAGTTGATTGACACCAGATTTGTAGATACTATATTGTATGTTCACAGAACTATTACCTCAAAAACAGAAGCTTGATACCAGTCATGAAATATTTTTGTCCAATACATGTGTATTTCTTAAAAGTCTAATTTATTACCAGCCTCTAAACTACAATTTCTTCATTTCTTTCTTATTAAGTGCTATATTTACAACATCAAATAAATCACCAGACACTATGTTATTTTGGTATTTATTGTGAACTATAGAATTCAAAAAATAAAAGTAGAAAACTTATTGTAAAATTTAAATGGTTGTCTTTAATTTTGAATGGGGGTCGATTTCTTGATCACTTGATATTTCACTATTGTATAGGAGAGTACAGTTGTCTTAGGGCTGAATTGGACCTCAAAAGGTCAATTGGGCATCACCTTGTACAGTCCTATTTGCCTACCACACTTATCGTGGTCATCTCCTGGGTATCATTTTGGCTAGATGTGGACGCTATACCGGCTAGAATCACGCTAGGGGTCACCACCTTACTAACCATATCATCAGAAAGTAGCGACCACCAAGCCAACCTCGCCCCAGTGTCGTATGTAAAGGCTCTGGATGTGTGGATGGGTGTATGCACGTTCTTCGTCTTCTCTGCTCTGATTGAGTTTACTTTTGTCAACTTCTTGGCTCGCAGAAGGGGAGTAAATGAAGGTGCATCTGGAGGAAGCGGAAATGAAAACAATTTGGTGCTCTACATGGTAAGCCTAAGTTTAAAACAGGATACCTTTAAACTCAGTGTGAGCTACGACAAGTCATACATATATGAAAGATAATAACTATTTATATTATTATTTACGAAAGTGAATTGAATTTGATTTAAACTGTATTCTTATATCACAATCAAAAGCACAAGGAAATGTTCTGTCAATCAGGGGTATATTATATCTGCATATCGATGGTAACTATGTTGTAGAAATTATCAATGATAAATATTTTCCCCAAGAATGGTTGCTTTAGCTTCAAAAACCGTATAATTCTATTAACAATACGAAATAAATGATTAAGACATCAATCGACTGTTCCATCACGAATGTTATCGTTTTAGGTTGCTTTTTCAAACTTTTAAATAAATTAAAGAACTGTAGAAAAGCAAAGAAACATCCGACAATTACATAATTGTGTAAGTGAAAGGTTGTTTATACAGCACAATGGACTAGACACTCTTTTAAAAAAGTGTCATATAGCTAATAACTTTTAAAGTCAGTAATATGAGAAAGAAGTGAGTGAGCAACGTGTGATAATTTTTTGTTGATACTATTACTTCATTTAATTCGATTTGTTTAAATTTTCATTGGATTTTCTAAAAATAAAAATAAGACTTAACTTAAACTTATCACACTATTTTATATTTTTGTCTTTGCTTTTCTGCGAAAGTCTAAGGAAGTAAAGTTACCTCGTGAAAAATTACTCTAGACACTCGTTTCTTGATAGATAAACACTTCCTTCTTACGCTTTTTTTACTTGTATTTCTTGCAGTATCTGTTGTGCAACTAAAGTCCTGTTTTAAAGTCATTATTATTCTTAATTTCCCACCTGGTGGCGCTGTATTATACACAAATGAATTACTCATGCAAATCTACGTGAAACAAATGTGCAAAATTTTTTAAACCTTGTTCAAGACATCCATTTTCATGTATTTTTACTTTGCAAGTTAATCGATCCAGCTAATTTGTAAAATCCTTTTAACCCTCATTAGGGGCCTCAACATCAAAAGTTCGAAAAGTTTGGTTGAATCCACCAGATCTATTCTACTTTTGAACAACCCCCATATGTTTATGCTAATTTCACGTTCTTCTTAATTTGCAAGTTAATCCATGCGGGTAATTCCTAAAACCCCTTGATCCAACATTAGGAGCCAATTGTTAGCGTTTTAAGCCCCTAAGCTCAATACTAAGCTGCCATTATCTCCATTTTATTCCTCCTTTAACTTTGTAAACTCCATTGGAGCCTCATGCCCCACTTCCCAATATTTAGGCCTAATCTGTATTGTGTTAGTAATGAACTTTTTTCATAAGCATACTATTTCTGCTACACGATGGTTGTATTAAGTGTAACTACAGCAATCCACGTTATCTCGTCAGTATTTCATTCAACACTTTATTTGCTGGCATAACATCGTCCGGGTGATCCGGAAACGAGCCTTGCAGGATTTGTGTTTGATGTAAACTACAATAAAGTAAACGAAAGAAATTTCTATCACATTTTTAACAGACACCAAAGGGCGGCGACAAGACATTGACCATCAAAGACATGGATCTGCCGGCTACAACGAGAATGCTGACCCTTAGAGCACGTGCCAAACGGATTGACCGAATCAGTCGCATTATCTTTCCAGTAGGATTCCTTTTTTTTAACGGAATGTATTGGCCCTATTACATGTACTAAGGGTAACCCTTGTTCGTGAGAATGTGGAACACAAGAAGTATGTTTCTGAGACAGCACTAAAACATCATTAACCTCAACCGGAAGAAACACCAACCAGGAAAGAGTATTAATCGAAAGAACATTTGATATTCTAAGAAGTAGCAGAAATAGTTAAATTATTTTGTGCTTAATGTTACGATGTCCTAGAAAACTAGCTGAATCTTTTAAAAGAAATCCATAATTATGCTTTTGTATGGTAAATGGCCTTTGTTTATTTACGTAGCTTTACTTGTGTAGTGTTGTATTAAGTTTCATGCAGAAAGCTACTGTTTAACTGAAATAAGAAGTTCATTGCCACCAGTAACTTAGTCAAAAAAAAAAAAACAACACTTGAAATAACGAAATTATATATTGGATTTAATACATTTTCATTTGAGTAGCTCCCTGATTGGCTGAAACGTTTTACTCAACGATGTTTCGTTTAATTACCAATAAAAAACAACACTTGAAATAACGAAATTATATATTGGATTTAATACATTTTCATTTGAGTAGCTCCCTGATTGGCTGAAACGTTTTACTCAACGATGTTTCGTTTAATTACCAATAAAAAAACAACACATAACTAAATAGGACTCTAAACGATAGATTTCAACAGATATTTTCTTATTATTCACGTGTGTTAACAATTGTTAGTTTTCGTCAAAACCACGTTTGTATATGAAATTTGTAGAGGAATATGTACTATATGGATCTTTTCCAATTAGTGTTTTACTTCATTTCTTTAGCTCCCCAGTAGCACAGCGGTATGTCTTCGGACTTACAACGCTAGAATCCGGGTTTCGATACCCGTGGTGGGCAGAGCACAGATAGCCCATTGTGTAGCTTTGTGCTTAATTACAAACAAATCCTTTCTTTATCTTCGGCTTTCCTTTTCCATTTTCTATAGATTACATTATTTATGTTTGAGTAAATAACTTGTTTTTGTTATTTGTATTATTTTGAGATAGCTGTGGTCATTTCGGGTATTTAATTGGACGCCTGAATTACGTTTTAATGACCAGTACCTATGTTATGTTTTAACGTACGCAGAAGTGAAATTGTTAATGAGGTTAATTAGCAAATTGTAGAAAACAGTGACGATTTTGATGTATAATGTAGCTTAAATTTAAAAATGATATACATCAAACATACATATAATTTTTTTTCTCAGGTTGGCAATCTTTATTATTTAAATCAATTTATTCTTCTTCTTGTTTTCTTATTTTCGCTACACACTGGGCTGTTTTTACTCTGTCTTCTATGGAGAATCGAACTCCGGATTTTTTGCGTTGTAACTCCATAGAACAATTGCAGTACTAAACAAACTTGAAACCACACACTAGTTGTTGAGAGAACCCTCTTTATGACTGACGTTCTGTAATTAAGTTTTACCATGACGTCTCAACAAGTTTTATATCGATGTTTTAAAATTGAAAATATAGTAAACTATTTTAAGGCCTTTTAACTGTTATGTAAAAAAAATTGGGTATAATGAGTGTAATTGTCAAATTTATTGTATAAATTTGTATATTTTGTAATTTGATCACGTAATACTTAATACAATTCACATAAAAATAAAACCATGACCATTAAGTCACCTTCTGCTATCTCTATCTGTAACAACTCACCTCTATACATTTGTAACACTAAATAACTACTACTCACCTCCTGCTACCTGTAACCACTCTTCTCCTGCTAGCATAAGTCACCTTCTGCTATCTCTATCTGTAACAACTCACCTCTATACATTTGTAACACTAAATAACTACTACTCACCTCCTGCTACCTGTAACCACTCTTCTCCTGCTAGCATACTTCTTATTGTCTGTAACATTAAGTAATAATTGCCCACCTTTTACTATTGACATAGCTGTACACAGTACAAAACAGCTCACATGCTACTATCGATATGTCTTCAATACAGGACAGTTGTGTTTCCCTTGTCACTATCACTAGATCTGTAACAGAGAAAAATTAGAACTCATATCTTATTACCCATATCTTTCTTGCATAAGATAACGATAATTAGCCTTTTTTTGCTAGATTCCTTAAAAAGAACAGGGCAATGAAACCTGACGACTTGCCACTATGATGTGGATTTTAATAGCGGACGAATTTCATAATCTCCACTTCACGAGTGCGATGTTTGTTGAATTCGTGATAATACGTTAGTGATAAAAAATCTCTCTCTTCCCGTGTCACTAACAAAATCCAGTACTGTTTCAACTCTTGGAATATTCTGGTGTTTTCAACACAGTTGTGTTCAGATTATTTCTGTACCAAATTACATTTAATAAGTAAAAGGTATAACTTTACCCCTTTAGGTGGAGGTTAACTATTCTCATCTTGATAGAAATCAGTCCGTTTCTCATATTAATAAAGATGAATTATTATTGTACTTGAATCAAAACATAGTTATATGTAGCCCTTATATATTCATATCTCTAGTATTATTTTCTAATGATGGCCATAATCGATATATGTGGATAGAAAAATCTTGAGTATTAATTACATCATTTAATTTTTTTTTTTTTTCCGAAATCTACTTTCCAATAAACATACGAAAAATGTTGAAGAAACCATCAGAAACATAAATATAATTGGTTGGACACCATTAACCGTTCAAAAATTTTAATAATTCTAAAATCAAGAGGTGTTTTTATTCTTGCATAGATCGCATAGGTGTCCTGTAACATAAACAAGTTTCATGCACTGCCGCCATCTCTACATTGGTTATCATAGCTATGTGCACAATAGAAATTATATGATCTTCAACATGAAACGATGATGCTTCAAGTCAGTGTCAATGACTTTCCTAAAGCATCATACAATCTTTTAAGGAAATTCTCGCTACTTTAGGTACATTATGTTACAAGATACATTTTTTTTAGACTAATAGAAATAAACAAATATAATTAAAACGCTCAACCTTCCATCAATTGTTCCACCAACAACAATATTTTGTGGCTAATGTTTTTCCATATTTACTTCGACAACAGTAAAAACATCCTTCAAGATTAGCTACAAACGTAATGAATCTCAACTGACAAATGAGCATAAAAGAGCTTTATTTGTGTTAGATAACATGACTTGTCGTTTCATGGAATATTATATTGCACAAAATAAACATTACAATAAGAAAATGGTAAAATGTCTTTGAGAACAACACTTCAAACAGTATTGTTCTGTTAAATTCTGCTTAAACACATTAAGAACTTTGTTGGAAACAACAAACAGAACCTTGAGAAAAAAAGCATCGACAAAAAACAACAATAAAAAAACAAGCCGCAATCTTTTGATATGTTGGAATTATTTGAAAACAACCCGCGTAATATAAAATTTACATTCAATATTGTGTATGCTTAGTCACGTGATAGAACTACCTTCTTATGCACTTAATATCATATAGAGTTTCTGTTCTATATAAACGTTCATTTTAGTTAAGCACTGCTGTTAAAAGCTTAATGTGAAATGTATTTTACATTGTGCATTTACAGTAATTTGTAACGAGATATAATACTTATTCCGTGTTATCATATCAGGTTTCTACTCTGCATTCACAAAATATTTTGTCTTATTACATCTTATTTCCATAGTAATCACATACATTTACTATCCATCGTTTTTATACTTATTATCAGATCTTTTTTTTGTACATTCACAGAATTTATGTTGTTGAAACCTACAACTATTTCTATGATATACAATCCAATCCTTTGACACAAAATCTTTTTCACCTTTTGTGAGTTTCTTGAGCTGTAAATGTTTTATTTCTTATGATTTTCAGTCATTTCTTAACTTTGGGCATATTATAAATGCGAATTATAAAGTCCACGAAAGAAATCTGAAGGTGAAACCAGTGTCAGCACTATTCTAGGGCATCAGCGTTGTAGTATTTTAAATTAAAAGTGTTGTATGTGTTCCGATTAGTCGTTTATTTAAAATAATTATTAACGCCACAAATACCAATTAGATGTTGTAGCGTCCATCAAGTGCTTATTTTACTATGCAGTGTTAGTCTGCTATAGTGTTATTGTGTGATACGACTCTGTAGCTTCAGCCTTCTACAGTTACTACGCGACTACGTGAAGCTATTGAATAATCAATGGTGTATTATAAAGGCTGTATAATTCAGTTATGGAATTTACTTATGAATATTTTGTTCTCTCGTTGTATTCAAAGCATTTCTACGTATAATTAAATAAATGTGTTACGTTATAGGATACCAAATAGTATTTGGTGAATGTAAAGTCATGTGTACATAAAACTTCAAAAATTCTTAGCAAAGTCTGCATGATAAAAAATAGAGAACCAAAATAAAATTTCCTTGATATAAACAAAATTTAGTCATTTCTCTTTTTTGTTTGTTTATTTCATGTTCAAGTTTGGAGTTCACATCTTATACAACAACTTAGGTTTACTTATTGAATATAGGTTAGGAGCTTGATCATAATATCAGGAAATTAGAAGTTATGAATTATTTATAACACTTAACCACAGAAACTAGAAACACTTGGATTAAAATGTAGCTAATAGTAACTCCTAATTATAAATAAAAGAAAGACTGAAGTAACTAAAAGCTCTAATTCTAAAAATTAGAGAGTTTTTGAATCATTTGAAATACTGAACAAGGGTTAAAAGAAAGACAAGAAATTGACTGTAAACTCCAATTGTAAAAGATGTAAAATAAATCATCTTTAAACCTAGTGTTAATAAACAAAATAACTTGGAATCATCTTTAAGACCTGAATCACACGATAGAGGTGCGAAGGATGATTTAACAGATAGAAGAATCAAGAAGAAATTGGTAACATCAATGTTACATGTACTCCAAAGTTTATATACATATAGTTTCACTGTAGTAAATAAAAGATGACTCAAAATAACATACATATAATATACACTCTACCACTATTAATGGTTGGAGACGGCTTGAATGGGTAATGAAGAAAAACTTTAATACAAGTTTAACATAACAGCAAATGTACAACGTTTCGAGAAGGTTTTGCCATCATCAGGTACCCATTCAAGCCGTCTCCAGCCATTATTAGTCTCAAAGTGGGTTCCTCGTCATCGAATTTGAACTCTACCACTATATGTAGCCTAGTCATTTTTTTTCTACTTGTTTACATCAACATACTGAAAGCAAGATCTCCCCAGCCAGTCCCAGTAGCAGTGGTTCCTGGTGAAATATCTGCACTGCCCAAAATTATTGGCGTGGGCCAACAAACTGGAGTACCATGATAAGTGTTTTCTGTTAGCCGCAAGAGGGCAATGTCGTTATAATGGCGTTGACTGTCATAATTTTCGTGAACAATGACTTCGGCAACACTGTAGTCTGATTCGCTTACTAGGGAAAAGTCCAACTTACTTGATTCCAAGCGAACGAAAATAAATGGTGCAGGACTGTAATCAAAAGTTAGTAAAACGTGTAAAATTACTACTTCAGATATGACTTCTTTACTTCTACTTTTCTGCCACATATTCGTTCCTGTCACGTCAGATGTTCTTACCAATTTGTAATATATTTTTTACATCGATGATTTCTGGATTGCCAATTATAATTTGTAAGCTTGAACCTGTCAGAAATATCTTATTAACTTGTAAAGATTAACGAAATGTAAACGTTAAAATGACAGGTCTGTGATAGTTTATGAAACAGCAAACAGACTTACATAAATATAGCAAAACTAAGGAACTAACACCTTTCTGTTGGAAGCAACGAAACAATGGGCAACGCTTAATATGTAGCGAGTGTTCATCAGCGTTCCTCCACACAGAAACCGTTTATTGACACTGAACGGGTGAAATAGAAACTCGTTTTTAAGGACAGGAAATTGTGCTTCTATTTTTTTTTCTTAACAAATTAAACATTAAAAGTGAAACAAAAATACATAAATGTACCAATACTGAAAAGAAAAACACACTGTTTTCAATAATTCTATCAATAGTTGTTACATAGTTAACTCTAATGCTGAGAGATATATACAACATTGGTAGTTTTTCTGAAATCATGTGAGGCTCCAATAACCCCCCCCCCCCACTCCCCTCATAACTTTCCTCATGTCATCCTGTATCACTGTGTCAAGTCTGGTACTGATTGATCAAGAAATGCGGAAACGTATGAGGAACAGATACACACACATACACATATTGACGTTTATTTATATAGATATACATGTGTGTTTATGCGGAAGAAGTTTCGATATCTGTAATACAAATGTCATTTCTCAATATTAATTATTAATTATTACAATATTCTAATTGAATTAATTAATTATTCAATTACAGACCTACTTTAATATACTACAAACACAATCTGGATTTATCAATTTTATTATTAAAGATCGTTAAAAATGCATTTGTGATGTTTAAGCAATTCACGGATGTGAAGTGACGTCAGTAAATAGATATTTAAATCAGCAGCGACATCTGTCACTTCGTATGCTGTAAATTCTTCGAAAAACAATTATTCGAAACATACATTCACAACATTAAGTGTTTACTACATAAATAGCACTACAAATTTTTACATACCACACTGGTTGTATATCGTTCGTTTCATTTTAATTCCCACAAGAGCAGAATCATGGAACTAAGGCTATAATGCAGGTCAAGCGATAACACCCCGTAGTTTCAATGACCTTGACCTCACATGATAGCTGAGAAAGTGATAAAGTGATCCATTGGCGGTGTTCTTAGATGTATCGGTCATAATGTGACACTTTCATATACCGGTCATAGTATGACACTTTGATGTACCGGCCATAGTGTGACACTTTAATGCACTGTGTAAGTGCAAAAAAAAAAAAAAAGAATCCTCGACCAATGCACAGTTTTACTATAAATAGAAATGAAAATTATTTTGATGTGTTAGTATCTGCTGAGGAGTGTTGAATAATCTGAAACATCCAGAGAAGTGTGTTTGAAAGTGCTATCGACTGACCAATAGTCACTGTATATGAACAGCCCTGTGATGTGGTTGTACACACTGCATTCTGTGTGTCGTGTGCTATATCGAGAACGCTAAGGTATCATAATTTTATTGCAAACTGGTTCCCCCAAAATGTTAAATGTTTTTAAGAAGTGAGAAAGACCTAAGATAGAATTGAACGGATATTTATTTGTTAAAGACAATCAAGTGAAGGAAAAAGTGTATTGAAAATGTGAGCAATTTGAAAAAAAAATGCAAAGGTCATGTGATAATAATTGGTGATAACATTGGTCGAGAGTTTCGTGAGCACAACCATTCTGACGATACCGCTGGTATAGAAGCCAAGAATGTAATGCACAGCATACAAATAATTCAAAGAATACACGTGATGCACATATTATATTATCTCACATGCATCCTTTAGACTCAGCCAAGCTGCGGCAGTTAAACTGCCAACCGTAAACAGCATACAAATAATTCAAAGAATACACGTGATGCACATATTATATTATCTCACATGCATCCTTTAGACTCAGCCAAGCTGCGGCAGTTAAACTGCCAACCGTAAACAGCATAATAATAATTCAAAGAATAAACGTGATGCACACATTATATTATCTCACATGCATCCTTTAGACTCAGCCAAGTTGCGGCAGCTAAATTGCCAGCAGTAGACAGCATAAAAATAACTCTTCGGAATTTACGTGGGAAACAAAATCTAGGGTTAGTTACTCCAAATTATCGAAGAGATACTGTTTTTTTTTTTTCAGGAGAGTACACTAAAACTGAAAATGGAGAA